TTATCACATCAAAGAACTCACAGCTGGAAGGGTCCTTAGAGATCATCTCATCCAACCCCCTCTTTTACAGATGAGGAAACTGAGGCCCAGAGAGGAGCAGAGCCTTCCACAAGACTATGCAGCTAGTGAGCCCCAGAGATGGCATTCACGTCAACTAGCTGGACTCCCAAGCCAGCGCTCCTTCCTCTGTACCTATGGCCCACGTAGAAGAGATCTTTTTGTCCTCTGAGCTTGCTGGGGCACCTAATCTGGGTACCATGTATCCTTTAATGGGCACATGCCACCTCTTCAACTAGGTTGCAAGCTCCCTATGGGTAGAGGCCACATTTTGTTTACTGTTGCATCCCTCTAGGCAGAAAACACAGGGGATGATGGCACTCAGTTAATATCACCTGGAATCACTGACTGATTCCAAAATTAAGGGCAACAATCTCATCCCCTCACTAATGGATTTAAAGCTTTCCTTCCAGATAAGCTGCTGTCTCCATATCAACTGTTTGCTTAGAATGTACTGCCAGGGAGATCAAATGGGGAAAAGAAACCCCACTGGGCTGGAAGTGACAACCTATACCGACATCCTCCCAGCATATGATCCCACAGTGGCCACCACTGGCTGATAATGTCTGAAGACAGACACAAGCAATCAAAATTCCTGGGCCACACTGGACACGGAAGACAAATTCCAAACTGCTGGCAGGGTGAGGGGAATTCTGGGACGCAGAATCCTGGGACAATCCAGGATTCCTGCCTTACTCTTACACATGCAAAGGGAGACACAGACCTGTGCGAGGAAGCAGACCATTCGGTCCTCTAGCTACCTCTGCCAACTTACGGCAGATGGCCAGACGGATTTCCATTCTGGGTCCCCCCCCCCACCCCCCATGACATCTTTGCTAAGGCTGTGCCTCTGTCCTGGAACAACCTGCCCCCCAGCGATACCGAGCCCATCCATCCTGCAAAAGCCTACGTGAGACCTTCATGATGCCTTTCCGGCCTCCTCCCCAGGTCCTCAGATGGAAGGGATCTCTCCCTATAGTCCCCTTACAGGATTACCAGATTCTTATCTGTATCCCATTTACCTTTGGGCACTTTTTCCCCTCCTTTCTAGATGGCATACCCCTTGAGAACAGGGACTGTCTTCACAGACTCCTTACCTCTCTGTGGTAATGAGAGTGATTTATATCTAGGAAGCATCTAATACATGACTGAATAAATGTTCATTCTGAACAAGTGGATCAGGGAGACCCCTTAGAGTGCGCTGAGAATCCATTTAAAGCCCCTTCTAGGCTGGCCCCGTGACTCTGTAACTTGGATGCCATTCCTCCCAAGCAAGAGAGAGGGGAGGGATGTTCCTGTCTCAAAGAAACACCCTCCCTCCTCCCCACAGTTACATACACTAGTCATACATGAAGCAGGAGCCCAGAATTTACCAGACTGAACTGGGAGAGCCAGAGGGAGCTCCCAGCAACTGCTTTATCTCTGGGAATCTCAGCTTCCCTATTCTTTGGCCTCCTCTCCCTACTCTTTTCCCTCACTGGTGGAGACCCCTTCGAGCTAGTGATCTCAACCCCATTCCCATGATTAAGCTTTTCTCTCAAGAAGTCAGATCAAGAAAGGATCTGACTCAAAACAGTTTAATAGTGCTTAGTGATGAACTATGTGTGGGTTGTTGGCGCAGGAAAGCTGTTCTAATGGTGGGATTTCAAGCATCAACAATGGGGGAAGTATTTGGGAGGCTGGTGAACCACATTCAATGAGACTGTTGGCCCTCTGGTGACTGCTCTCTGTCCCACGTGACGACAGTGTTTAGAGAGATCACTGCAATGTCAGAGCACTTTCCGAAATGACCTGCTCGCCGCTAAGGCTCTCTGTTGAGGTGAGGGGGCATTTTTGTGAGAGATGGTTCACTAAAGCTCCTCCTGTTTAAAAAAAGAAGGGAACCAGGGAACACATCATGACTCTCTCAGAAGCCACAGAGGAACTAGACAAACCTGTCCATCCGTATGTCAAAGTGCACAGAGTTCTCATTTCAAAGCATCTTAAAAATACCTTCCACTAATGACGAATTCCTGATGTGACCTTGGGCAAATCACTAAACACCCCTGAGCCTCAGGATCTCCATCTGTAAAGGGAGGAGGCTGGACCAGAAGATTTCTAAGTGCCCTTCGAGGCTGCTGTAATACTCAGACTCTCTGGGCCTCAGTTTTCCCATCTGTGAAATGAGTAGTTTGGACTATATGATTTCAAAGGGCTGAAGTTCTGCCTCTCTATGGACATTTGCCCCGAGGAAGTGGTCAAAGTTCACTTGTATCTGCAACCATGTGAGAAACAGCAACCCCAAAAGAAAGGGCCAGACTAACAACACTGCCTTTCTGGATTAGATTTCTGGTAGCTAGAGTTGCACATATTTTCCCCAGAAGGTACTAATTTACCAAACAACAGCATGTCCTCTCTTCAAGAGAAAATAAGACACTGTAAGTACAACACGTTTCTGTATGCCGTGCTCTAATTTATCAACATAAAGTCCAAATGCTTCAGTGCCTTGGGTCCCGGCAGCGTCTGGGGCTCCTTGTGGCTAACCTGGGGCTGTTGTCACTTAGGGGGAGGAGCATCAGCCTATTGGGGACTAAACTGAAATCTCCAAATTATTTTGCCACAAACAGTCAAAAGTTACAAAGCTGAAATACTAAGACACACACACACACACACACACACACACACACACACCCATGGAACATTTGCATAGTTCTTTAAAATTCAAAAAGGGGCATTAGAGATAGTATCACATACAATCTTTACAACAACTGTGTGAAGTATACTTATCACTTGTTTCATCATCCCCATTTTACAGAGGAGGAAACTAAAGCTCAGTGAGGCTGGGCCAATTGCCCACAGTCACCCAGGTAGTATGTACATGTCAAAGATGGGATTCAAACTGACCTCACCTGGCTCCAAGCCTGGTGCTCTGCTCACTGCTCTAGGTCAAGGCTGGATCTGGGGCTGCCATTCTCTCCCCACATCGCCCAGACGGACCGGCACCTGGACTCATGACCTACTGACTTTGTCTGTCAGCAGGTATTTTTTGGATAGTCACTGCAGAAGGGCAATTTCTACAGTACGTGGCTGTAGAAATAAGAAGAGCTCAGGGGCAGCTAGGTGGTGCAGTGGATACAGCACCAGCCCTAGAGTCAGGAGGACCTGAGTTCAAATTAGGCCTCAGACACATAATACTCACTAGCTGTGTGACCCTGGGCAAGTCACTTAACCCAGACTGCCTCACCCCCCCCCCCCCAAAAAAAAGAAAGAAAAGAAAAGAAAAAAGAAGTAAGAAGAGCTCAACAGGCATCCCTTTGGGGAAAGTGCACACACAGCCTCTGAATGAGCCCAGGCTGCTGTCTACCACAAAAGATCTTCATTCATATTCCTCCAGTAACGCCATATGGCTGCACACCACAGGATGGCATGATCTCCAAGAACCATAAGTGCATGTGATCCAAGGGGCAATGGAAAGATGTACCATGAGGGCATGCAGCATATTACCAATGATGCCTTGCATGCCAGGAGTAATATCAATGACTTTGTCATGGAGGCTTAGGACCAGAAAAGGAGAATAAGGCAAAGGGAAGGACGGCTGACACCTCATCCCAGGCCTGCACTAGTGTCTATGGGAGATTAAGGGAGCCAGAGGAAGGAAGGCCTCTGGTGCCCTGGGCAGATCCTCTGGGGAGGGCACAGCACGAGAAGGGAGGGGCGGCGATTTACCTTGGTGGGAAAAGGACCTGTGCCCCAGAGGTCTCAGAGCTCTCAGCCCTGGGCTCTAGCTTAGGCTCTGCCACTAATCCAGTGTATGCTCAGGGGCCCCTCCTTTCCTGCCTCTGGACCTCCACTTCCCCATCTGCAAAATGAAGCTACAGAACCCGGGTGATGGCTGCAGCTCATTCCCACTCTGATATTTTATGTCCTATGCACTAAGGTCCCTTCCAGGTCCAACAGTGTAAGATCCCACTATCAGCGGCTTCTTTCAGGCCACAGAAATCTTAAAAATTGTGAACATATCACTTCAGCTATCGAGGTATTGTAGTGGATGGATGGTGGGATCAGAGGCAGGAAGACCTGGGTTTGAATCCTGCCTCAGACACTTACCGGCTGTGTGACCACAGGCGAGTCACTTCAATGCTATGTGCCTCAATTTCCTCTTCTGTAAAATGGGGGTAATAATAGCCCCTACCTCCCAGGGTTGTTGTGAGAATCAAAAAGAGTTAATACACATAAAGTGCTTTGAGAACTTTAAAGCCTTACACAGATGCCGGCTAGTAGTGCCATAGGCAGCCCACCAATAATCCTTATCCCTCATTCTGAACAATGCATCCTAAGTTAAACAGTCTCCTCTACCTGGGAGGTTTGTTCATTTTGTTTATGGGAAAAGGTGCTCATTAATGACATTATCACAGCCTTGATCTGCTGGGGGAAGATAACTATACATTTTAATAAGCTGTTCTGAGAAATGAACAGATAGAAATGACTCTAAACATGTTCTCTGCAGATGATTTTGCCCAAGCTGCCTGGCACAGACTCCTGGCATCCGGTCTTGATAATATTTTAAGTGAAATTAAAGAATTGCAAAAGTAAGTGTGAACTGTGAGCTTCCTCATCACTCAATAACCTCCCCCTCAGGTACCTGACTCATTACCTTACACTAAGTCCTGGAGCAAAGCAGCTCAGAGATCAAGGGCACCTCTCTTGGATGCCAAGTTAAAAAAAATCTCTGTGGAAGGGAGAAGGAAGAAGGGGGCACCTTGTATGGGGCAGTCCCCTCATTGACACTGTATTTTCCTCTGCTCTCAGGTCCTTCCCCACCCCCACACTCCATGGTCTCCATTCCAAGGTTTTGTGTAGTTCTAAGACACTGACTTGATGCACTGAATGCCTATCATTCTCTGTCTGGATCAAGCTGTGGTCAGGCCTCTCTCGTTTCAGGGGCCCAATAATTAACTCCTTACCTGGGGACACCTTAAGAAGACCTCTGGGAGGTACTTTAAGGCTGATGCAAGTCTGGTGAGGCTTTTCTTCTTTTTTGTTGGTTTTTCCTCAAGCCTCCTTAAAGAAGGAAAAAGAAAGAAAGAAAAACAGTTTAATTCAAAAGAACGAAACAGGACTTCTTTTTAGGGGGACAGGTTAGATCAGATGGTCTCAGAGGTCCTTCTCAACCCTAACATGCTCTGATTCCCTCCATATTCTTTTGGTTTGGATTACATTGTGAGGTATTTCTGATGCTTATTGTGCAGGCCTTTTAAAAGCCTAGAAACCACACTAGGTACAAATGTGTGACTTCCAAAGGGAACAGATTACCAAAACATCTGAAATAAGGTCATTCAAATGCAGCCTCAGTCTCCCCTCTGAGATTAGCCCCACATGATTAATTATTTATTGGACATTTCAAACCAAATGTCTCACAGGCACGTCAAACTCAACATGGCCAAAACAAAACTCATTATTTGATTATAATTATTAACTCTTCCCCACCTCCAAATCCTTTTTTTTTTTTTAAGTAAGGCAATCAGGGTTAAGTGACTTGCCTAAGGCCACACAGCTAGTACATGTCAAGTGTTTGGTCTGAGGCCAGATTTGAACTCAGGTCCTCCTGACTTCAGAGCCGCTGCTCTATCCACTGCACCACCTAGCTGCCCCTCAGGGAGCTTTTCAAAATGAAAAGTACTATAATATTTGGAGCAGCATTTTGTTTTCTACTTAATGTGTGTATTGATATATTTTATTCTTTACATCACCTTCATTTTTGAACATATACTCCTCCTCCACTCAATAAGGTATCCCTTATAACAAGGAAAAGAGAAAGAGAAAAGCAGTGCAGCAAAACCAACCCAATACGTCAACCGTCTCTGATAGGAGATACAATATTTCTCCTCCAGATATCTCCCACATCGGGAACGAAAGGAAGGAAGTGCTATTTCTCCACTCTTCTCTTGATCGTTATAAGGTCATAGTGTTCTGGTGTTTCGTTCTCTTTATACTGTTGTAGTCACTATGTATGTTGTTTTCTTAGTTCTGCAGCATTTGTTCTGTATCAGTTTATGTGTCTTCTCACACTTCTCTACATCCCCATTGGTTGTTTCTTGTGACACAGTAAGATTCCACTACATTCACATACCACAGTTTGCTCAGCCAATCCCCAATCACTGGGCATGTAGTTTGTTTCCAAGTCTTTGCTGTCACAAAAAGTGCTGCATAGCACAAAGAGCTGGGAACAAAGTACACAGATGACTATCAGCTGGGAATGGATCATACATTGTGGTATATGAATTTAATAGAACAGATGAATGCAGAGAAGCATAGGATGAACTGATGTAAAGTAAGGAGAACCAGGAAAGTAATATGCACAATGATTACAACAACATAAATGGTGATGTCAAAACAAAGCATGTCATGAAAAATATATTTTTTAAAAATTATGCATACCACAAAGAGCTGGAAAGAAAGGAGAGAGTTAACCATCAACTGTGATATGGCTAAATTGTGGTATATGAATGTAATGGAATATTATTATGCTATAAGAAACTGAAAACATGAATTCAGAGACGCATGGGAAGAATCATATAAGCTGACTGATACAAAGTGAATAGTATACACGATGACTATGACATTGAAAGAAAAAGGAAGCTAAACGTCCCAGAGAAGATAGGAAGACATGCATTTTTTTCTCCTTTCACTGGAGAGGTGGGGGACTATAGATGAAGAACATTGTATACCCTGCCTAATGTGCTGGGTCCATTGGTTTTGCTAAGCTTTTTTGTTACAGTGCTTCCCTTGCTCACTGAAGGATCAGGTAGGCACTGCATGGTCTATCAGGAAATTATTAAGATGGAAAAGCAAAAGGTACCAATACAACTTTTTTTTTTAAAATCACCTAGAGTGATTCCAAAAAGCCTCCAGTCTCTTTCCTCTCCCATCCATCCTCCATAAGGGCTACCAAACTGACGTCCTTAAAGGTCAGGTCTGGCCTGTCAGTCCTTTGCTCTGTTCCCTCTTGCCCTAAGATACCATAGAAGCTCTTCTGCTGGGCATGCAGAAAGCTCCACGATCTGGCTCCAGTCTGCTTTTCCAGGATTACTTCAGTCACTCCTCGTCACACACCCCGTGTTTAGCCAAACTGGTTTACGTGCTGTTTCTCGCACGTGGCGCCCCATCTCTTCTTTCTGTGCCTTCGCACACAGTATCTTCCACATTCTGAATGTACCCCCTCCTCTACCTTACAGAATCCCCAGCTTCCTTCAAGGCGCAGCTCAAGTGCTTCTCCTACCAGAACCCCATTTTGTTTCCCCCAGTTCTCAGTGCTTTGCCCTCTGGAAATCACTTTATATTTACTTAGTATATATCTTGTATTTACTTATCTGCGCACAGATTGTTCCCTCAGTCAGAATGTAAGTTCCCTGAGGGCAGCGTCTGTTGTTTTTGTCTTCATATTGCCAGCAGCTAGCACAGTGCCTGCGACATAGCAGGCGCTTTACGAATGAATGAATACATCTACTGAAACACTAAAAGGGAACTGAACCATAGCCATTGACACTCTTGCTATAAATGATGTCTGCAGGTAGAGAGGACCAGCAAGAGTGAAGGACACGAGAGGCAGCTCAAAGGCTACACTTGTGCCTCTGAACACCTGAAGACATTTCTGCCAACTGGAAACATGTCCACAGGTTCTTCTTGGAGAGATGTGCAAAGAAGCTGATGAAGCATGTTTCATCACAAAGATGAAACAACGGCAAGGAATCATTTCACACAACGCTTTGTCTTCTCAACTTGAAGTCTTCATGACACTGTGTGTGTCTCACACATACACACACACTGCATAAGCAAACAGGTTACCACGATAGTAACTCTAGTTTATGTGCCAAAATCCGTTATAAAGATCAAATGGAGAAATTCTATAGAGAATCTGACCAGATCCTCAGTCATCCCATACTTTGATCCTTAGTAACCTCACTGCAAAGGAGGGGCACAGGGCTGGAAAAATGGTTTGGGGAGCTATAAATGAGATTGGCTACAACTTTAGCCAATGCGCTCTCATTAGTCTGCTCAATTTTCTTTCAATGATCTTGTGTGTCAATGTTCTTTGAACAATGAGGTGCCTGGGATTGTGCATGGTAATTCAGACATGGTGTAAGGAAAGCAGAGTACTGCTTGATTGGCACCTCCATTCTTTTGAGTTCTACGACTTTCAACATAGCTCAAGATCTCATGAACTTTCTGGGTTGCTAGATCACACTGTTAACTCATATTGAGCTTACATTCCTCTAACGTCTTCATATTCTTTTCATTCAAACTGTGGTCTTGTCATCTGGTCTTCCTCCTCCTCCTCCCACTCACTTCGACTCTACCTGTAACATTGATTTTTTGAAAGATTTCCGGGGGCAGCTACGTGGTGAAGTAGATAGAGCCCCAGCCCTGGATTCAGGATGACCTGAGTTCAAATCCGGCCTCAGATACATAACACTTACTAGCTGTGTGACCCTGGGCAAGTCACTTAACCCCATTGCCTAACCAAAAAAAAAAAAAAAGAAAGAAAGAAAGATTTCCTATCAGTGGTGAAAGTCTCCTTGTGTTCCCATTCACAGAAGATAATAAATTAATTGCATCAAGCCCTCAATTGAAATCCAGGTTCATTTGAATGAGATGGGCTTTGCTAGCCATACAAGAAATACGAAATTTTAAAATGTACATTGCCCAGATTATGGCCTATAACTGCACAGGCAGCCCATGGAGATAATGCTTTAGTGTACATATATATACACACATACATGACCCTTGGAAAAATACTGCAGATAGAAAATGAACTTGGTCCACAACAGAACAGACAATCAGGCAGGATCATATTTGGGAAAATACTCAGTACTTCTAAGGATCCAAGCTGCTCACTGCTTACAAAAGCCCATCTAACACCAATAATATTCCAGGAATGCTAAATGGCTACGGAACACAGAGCCTCATAATCTCAAAAGAATTAAAGCTGATGGTGATAAAGGAAAGGCATCTGGTGGGTGTAAGCAAGCTGCAACATATTGTTAATGAGAACTTTCAGGCAAGAGAATATCTTCAAAGGAAGAATGGACAAGGAGATGGGCTAGTCATGTGGTCAGAGAGATGACCAAAGGACAGTCACCGGTACTCGTGAGAGAGTAAAACAACCAAAGGCAGATCTACCACATGTTGACTGCATCTTCCAAGGAGGTTTACAGGAAGACATTGACCAGAATCACATAGAATGTCTGTATGGATTGCTATTTGCACTGGTAGAGGGAAGACTACATGAGTGAAAATCACGGATTTATTGAAGTATTGAGGCCTAAGTAGGAGGTTATCTGTGGGAATGCTATTTCCCCTACTGAAAGGGAGGCTCTATTTTTATTTTTGTCTTTGTATCCTTAGTGCCAAGTATAGCTGCTGTTCATCCTTTGTTTTCAAAAAGGACCAATGACATCACAGGGTGATGTCTTGCCTTGTGCACAAATTGGATTTCAGTGAGGCAGAGCTGCACAGAGTCCTTAGCCTCATTCTCTCTCCCAGAGTCACTGCTGTCCAGTGGCAGGGCAGAAGTCAAGACTGCTGATGGCCCTGGATGCAGTGGATGACCTTGGTGGCATAGACATCTGACCAAGCTCTAAACGCTACACAGTGTCTGCAGCAGCCGCTTTCATGGTCTGGTGGAGAAGTTTTTTCTCATCCACCTATTCCACTGGGGGAAATTTTCACATGCTTGGAGTAGACTTACCCCTAACTCACTGATGGGTTTGAGGCCTGTGGGTTACCATCAACGTGGTTCAGTCTATCTGGCAAGACAGTTTACCAGGGTGTGGCTGCCGTGGCAGTTAGGTGGTGCAGTGGACAGAGCACTTGGGAGTCAGGAAGACCCGAGTTCAAAACCGACCTCAGACACTTATTAGCTATGAGACCCTGGGCAAGTCACTTAACCCTGTGTACCTCAGTTTCCTCATCTGTAAAATAAGCTGGAGAAGGAAATAGCAAACCACTCCAGTGTCTTTGCCAAGAAAACCCCAAATAGGGTCACAAAGAGTTGGCTATGACTGAAATGACTGAACAACAAGGCCACTGCACACGCTAGTTTCTTGGAGCCACAACCACACAGTAGGCTTGCTGAACTGAAATCAGTGTTATAGGATTTCCTTTTTTTTTTTTTAATTTTCCTCAACTTTATTTTTATATTATGCTAATATCTTTCATGTAGCATACCAGAGACAGGTCTGTAATCCAGTTAAACTACAGCTTCCTAGAATTAACTACTTTACTGACAGCTTTCATGAAATCTTCCTGTGCTACAAAATTGTGATCAGCACAAACTGCAAACGTACCTGTTTCAGGGCAAATGTTTCTCAGTTTTGCTCCATTTGAGTCATCTGAAAGCTTCACAACTGCTTTATGATCTGTTTCAGATAAGACCTGCATGAATCTTTAGTTTGCATAATCTTGCTCATTCACTTGGTAAATCAACATGTATTTTTCTATTTAATCTTCCGAGACCAACAAAGCAGGATTCAGTGTGTCTGGTTTGTATGTAGTCATCGTCATTTTTACTGTGTAGAATATTAAATCTGTCTATCTGATTCAGAATCTTTAGTATGTGTAATTCTGCTCATTTGTTTGGTAAATCGACATGTATTTTTCTATTTAATCTTCCGAGACCAACAAAGCAGGACCCACTGTGTCTGGTTGGTATGTAGCCATGATCATTTTTACTCTGTGTAGAATATTAAATTCATCTATCTGATTCAGGAACTCCACTAAAGTTTTCTGAATTTCTCTAACAGCTGAAGTACCCTCAGAAAAACAACAGTCACCAATAGCATCTATTTCCTCCATATAAATGATGCACTGCTGATGATCCCTGACATAAATGAACATATTTCTGATCAAACAAACACTTTCACCAATGCACTCTACAATAGACCTAGATACAACCTTTAAAAAATTCCAATCCAGCTGAATAGCAACAGCTCTTGCTAAGACTATTTTTCTTATTCCTAGTAGTCCACATAGCAATAATCTTTTGGAGGTACTGTTTCTACACACTGGAGTAACTCAGGGGAATTCTATTATATCTTACCACTCTGATTTTAGACAGACCTCCAATTTCAGAGGAAGAAACATTCCCAGGGGCCTCACAAAACGTTGCAAGCCGGTAGATCAAGCTCTCTTGATAACTATATCATGATAATGTAGTCACAGCCAGAGGACTCTTGTTCCTGGCTTCAGCTTACTTTTGTTGAGCTGATATTGACAATCTACAACATATCTTGGTCCATCTGATGCTTTAATAATAAATTTTCTGCCATTAATCGTTTAAGCACTTAACTTGAAATCTGCCCAACACTTTGTAAGACCTTCAGATCATTTTCTGACTTTGTATGTTGCTTGGTAAGCTTTTTAAATTGTTCCCTTAACTCTTTGAGGTGCTCACTGAACTCCTCCTACTGAAGCAGCTTCTTTAGGAAGTCAAGAAGAGCTTATCTCTCAGTCTGCCATGATGAGATGCTGTTCATAGAGGATGCTGGAATAGCCATGGCCGCCAGGGGAAGGATGTGACAGGATTTCTTCAAAGCCAGAGATCACTTGCAATTGGAAAGCTCAGGGTAAGGTCCATGAGCTAATCACTGAAGCACAAGGTGGAAGAGACACTCCTGGGAGGGAGAACAAAATCAAAGTGCAGAGGTGAAAAAGCCAGGAGACCATTTTGGCTTGAATGACACATGGTTGGAAACCAAGAGGCCAAATAATGAAGGACCTTGAACTCTGGCCTATGGAGGTTGCATCTCTCATTCTGACAACAGGGAGTCATTGAAAACTTTTGAATAAGGGAGGGACGTGAACAAAATAGTGTTTTAGGAAGATTTATCTGGAAATGTGTACAGAATGAATTAAAGCAGGAGAACCTGGAGTCAGAGTCCAAGTGTGGGAAGAGTTAATGATGACACCAAGGTTTCAAGCCTGAGTGACAGAGAGAATAGTACTATCATTTCTTACATACCAAATCATAAAATTTTTCAAAGATTTAGAAGTTGAAGGAGTTTCCATCATCACATTTTCAAAACAAACCAAGCCAAACTCCTGAATTGGACTATTTTCTTTTAAATCATTTATTTTCAGGGTACTTCATTATTATATTTAATGTCATTTAATATACAAAAAATCTAAAATGTTCTTCCAGAATAGCACAGAAGGCCATCATAAAAGGATAAAAATCAGAAGTATTTAAAAGTATTAAAAGTATTTAACCTCAGAGGTAGAAATAGAACAGGTTTGCCTGCAAAGCAGAAATCTTCCTCAAACTGGAGGTGGCTAAGCAATGTTGAATGGACCACTTATGAGGGATGCTTAAGAGGGGATTTTTGTATTGGGTAAGAAATTGGATTAGATAATATATTTTTATGCACACATATGTATATAAAATATTATATACGCACACATAACAAAACAGGAGACAGGATTGATCTTGTCTGCAAAATGGCCTGGCAATGGAGAGGGCCCAACTACAATGAGAGGTGAGCAGTGATCCCATACCTCACCTCCACTTAAGATGTAAGAGTCAGCCTGGGAAGCCGCCAGTGCCAGAAGAGAAGGAGCGGACTTTGGCCTTCTCCACATCAAGAAAAACACCCTAGTCGCCTGAGGGGACTCCCATACCTTGTTCTATTCCTGTCTTTTTTGAGAAGGGCCTCAACAAGATACAACATCTCTATCTTTCAGGAGGCTAGACCTCAAGGCAAGACTACAAACAGCCTAATCTTGTGCCTCTCTCAATAGACTTTTCTCCAACCACTGATGTTTTGTCTGGATTCAACACTCAGTGGTTGGCATGCTCCTATTCCCTTATACTCATCCTAGTCTAGCGATCCCGAACTCCCAGCAGCTAATGTATAAACCTTATTTTCCATGTTCAACTCCAAACTCCCTTAGGTCTACCTCCCTCAACTCTACCCATTCAATGACCCACTGTAGATCTGCCCACCCTTCTCATCATGCCCTCTGGAATGCCTGCTCCATGATTAACAAATTTCCTTTCCTCTTAAACCTCTTTCTTCTTCACTTTCACCTTCTGGTCCTAAGTGAGACATAGTTACCTCCCAGCAACACTGCTTCCCTCACCATCCTTTCTAATACTGGTTACAACTTCTCTCATATTCTTTTCTCCCCACCCCCACCCCCACTCAGTGGTCATAGTGGTGGACCACTGCCACTTCAAGACTCTCCCTTGCCCACCTTGACTAAACAAGCTCTCCTCCTCTGAGGTTCATGCCAACCAAATTTATCACCTAATCCAAATCCTGGTAGTTATTTATAGATAACCTCCCATTTTCCTGCTTTCTTCAATGAGTTCAGTGCTTTGTTCACAATCTTTCCCTCCTCATCTTCTGCCTTCAGAATAGGGAACTTGAACATACACTGATTCTCCTCAAATACCCCAGCATCCTGGTTCCTCAAACTACTCAACTCCCATGAACTATTTCTCCAGTTCATTTCAGCTACACTCAGAGATGGTGACATGATTGATCTTGCCACCACCCACAAGTGTCCACATCTTTTCTCATGAACTTTGAAATTCCTTTAAAACATCATAAGCTTTTATCCTTCTCTCTTTCTTTGTGCCTTATGACCCCCCCTAACCCTGCTCTTCATCACTGTGACATCCATTTCCTTCACCCTCCAGGTTTTCCCAGGCCGCTACAACCATCATGACCATTCGCTCAGAGCTCCCTCTTCTCTATCCTCCTCATACCACTCGGACATCTTCTTCTACCATCTCCTCTTTCACTCCAGTTTCAGACAAAGAAGTGGCCTTTCTTTCTCTTTGCCAAAGCAAACCCCTCTCTATACTCATGCCATTAATTTCATTCCTTTATGGCTTTTTCAGAAAATTGCTCCTGGTGTCATCCTCACTCTCACTTATTTTCACCTTCTCCTTATCTCCTGGCTCCTTTCTTGCAGCCATGCTGCCCCCCCCCCATTCTCACTCATTCTCTCCAACCCTGCTAGTTATGACCTTTTACCTCTCCTCTGCTTCCTGCCTGAACTCCTTGAGGCAGACATTTACAATTGTTATTTCTACTTCCTCTGCTCTTACTTTGTCCTAAACTCTTTGCAATCTGTCTTTCAACTTTACAACTCAACTGAAACTCCCTCTTTACAGCCACCAATGATCTCTTATCTGATGTCCTTTCCTCAATCCTGATTTTCCTCAACCTCTCTTTGGCATCTGCAGTATAAATCTCTTCCCCTCTCCTGGATGCTTTCTCCTAGGTTTTGGGACACTGCTCTCTCCTGGTTTTCCTTCTATGTGCTCAATTGTGCCCTCTCAGTCTCCTCTGCTGGTTCTTTCTCCATGTCATGCCCTCTAACCAAGGCTGTCCCCTTGTCTTTTCACTCTACACTATTTTACTTGATCTCATTAGCTCCCATGGGTTCCAGATCATCTCTCTGCAGATGATTCCCACATATATGCATATTTACATACATATACACGCCCATATTACATATATGCATACGTATATACATATAGAAATGTATGGACATATATATTTGTATGTCTATATGTGTCTATATATGTATATGTATGTGTGGTGATGCCTTGACACATGGGTGAACTGGATTTAAGTGAGGCAGAGCTGCACAGAGTTGTGTAGCTCTCTTCCAGAATCACAGAAATCCAGTGGCAGGACAAAAGTCAAGATGGCTGATGACGGCCCAGGATGCAGTGGATGACCAAGGCATCTTCCATGTCTGACCAAACTCTAAATGCCCCATAACACCTGCTTCAGCCACCTTCATGGCCACTGGAACAAATTGTTCTCATCTACCCTCTCTGCTGGGAGACGTCTTTACATGCTTGGGGTAGACACCCCCAAACTCACCCACAGGTTTGGGACCTGTTGGTTACCCTCAACCTGGTTCAGTCTGACTGCCACGACAGCTTACCAGAGTGTTGCTGCTGCACATGCTGCTGCTCCTTGGAGCCACAGGTGAGAATTAAGTGCCAGGTGGACAGCAAAGGTGGATGAGCAGCTCTGGAAAGGGCTCAGCATCCCTCACACCAGAGGTGCTAGTCCTCCTGAAAACCCCATACACTGTATGTGTGTGTATGTATATGTCTATGCATATGTCTACATAGACATACACACATCTCCCTAGTTTCTCTGATGAGCTGTAGTCATACATCTCCAATTGCTTCTTGAACATTTCAAACTGGGTATCCCATAGGTATCTTAAATTCGTCCAAAAAAGATCTCATTATCTTTTCCCCAAACCTGCCTCCTTCTCAACTCCGATATAACTGCTGAGGACACTGCTGTCCTCCCGGTCACCCAGGCCACAACCTCAGGATCACCAATGAATTCTCACTTTTACTCATCCCACATATTTAATCCATTGCCAAATCTTGTCATGAAGGGCTTTGAATGCCAAACTGGATTTTTTTTTTTTGGTGAGGCAATAGGGGTTAAGGGATTTGCCCAGGGTCACATAGCTGGCCAGATTTGAACCCAGGTCCTCCTGACTCCAAGGTCAGAGCTCTATCCACTGTACCACCTAGCTGCCCCTCAAACAGGATTTTATTTCTGATTCTGGAAGTGACACAGAGTCACTGGAGTTTATTGAGTGGGAGGTGTGGGGTGACATAGTTAGACCTGTTCTTTAGGAAGATCACTGTGACAGCTGAGTAGAGGGTGCTGGATAACTCTGAAGAAATAAAAATTAAAGAAATGATTTGTTATTTAATAAATGTATTTGGGAAGACTGGTTGGCAATTTGGTGGGAAAAGGATTTAAATCCATTTCTTACACCACATACAGGAATGAATTCCAGCTAGACAAGAGACTTAAAATATAAAAAAGGAACTATAAAAAGATTGAACATAGAATGAAATATTTATCCCATTTGTTCAGGAAGGATAGATTTTCCTTGATTTACCAAAGAGAAGCAATTATTAAAGACACAAATAAACATGTTTACATTAAAATAAAACATTTCTGTATAACAAAAACTATATAATTAAAATAAAAACAACAGATTAGGAGAAACTATAACAACATGTCAGTTTAAAACATTAAAAAATAAAGAACTATTAAACTATTAAATTAGTTAAACTAAATAAAGGAATTATTAAACTATTAAAAGTCACAGTAGTAACTCCCAAGTATTCAATGGAGAAGTGGTTAAAAAAATGTGAACAGAGGATTGAAACACAAATTGTTAGTACTCAC